GCATTATAATAGTAAAGTCCAGCAGGGAATTACAACATGGGAGATATAGTAGAGTAATTCTAGATAGAAGCTCAAATACAACACCTCTTAGGCCAAATAGCTACTTTACAAAGGCAAATAGAAGCCTTTGGGATAACGAAGTCGACATCTACTAGGCTGAAATTGAGTAAACCTAGTACATACTCTAGGACTTCAAGGCAAGAATATATATGTCAATGGCTCTTCAACATGCAATAATACCTCCAACTATCTGAGGCTAATACCACTGAAAGAATTATGTATGCAGCTAGCTATTTGAGAGATGTAGCATCCATTTGGTTGCAATATCAGGTTCAAAGCTATAAAGCTCAAGGTAGATTTTGTAATTGTGAGGAGTTTGAGACCGAGTTTAGGAATTAATTTTGGCCCATCAATGCAAAGAAGATAGCATGCAATCAGTTAGCAAATCTTGTATAATCAAGTTGAGTGCAAGATTATGTCTTTTGATTCAAGTCCCTATGTCTTTAAATTAACAATGTTTCAGAGGCAAATATAATAGATCAATTTTAACAAGGTTTGAAACTTGGGATCTAGTAAGAGGTGGAATTAAAGAATCTATAAATGTTTGAAGAGGTAATTAGGATTGCGAAAAAGGTCAATGTTATAGATTTCAAAAATTGTGGGGCACAACCTATAGTACATAATCATATGCCGTTATTTAATATTATGGCACAACAACCAATACTAATGGAGATTGATGCCCTACAAAGATCATTGATACCACAAAGACAATAAATATTGGTGCAAAATAAATTATGTTTTTATTTTTGGGAGGCAGGCCATTAGATCGGAGGTTCTCCAAAACGTCAAAATTCAAGCACCAACAAAACAAGGCAGGTTCATAATCTCAAGATTCATGAAGTTGATAATGAAATGGAGCATGGAAATGAGGATCCCTAATAAAAGTGCCAAAGCCCAATACTAGGGATAGCTATTGTTTCTCAAAGACAAATGGCATGGCCTTAGACAACTATAAAAAGAATCAACTAGTATATCTAATGGGACTATTAAGAGGATAGCCATGTCGAGTACTTGTGGATTGTGGCTCTATAAAAAATTGACTCTTAATTGAAATAACAGACTAATTTGGGATTAAAATTACGATAATCAAGGAAAGAAGTATATATCTTGCAAATGACTAAGAGAACATATTGAGTGAGACATGTGAAGAAGAAACCTTAAGGTTGATTGATACTTATGTCTTAAGAGAAAGGTTCAAGGTAATAAAGCTAAGATATGATATTATTCTTGGTATTCTATGGCTAGAAGTGAAAAATAAGCAAGTTGATTAGATAGTAAGGACAATATCCTTGAAAGTTGGTGGATGCAAGTTGACTCTTTGTACCTCTATATTGAGTGAAGAAAAAAAAATAATCTACAACTAAAGACTTACTCATAGGAATGACTATTATAAAGAAGCAAATACAACATAAACAACCAATGTATATGATGGTTCTAAATCTTGCATCAGTGATGAGAAAGATAGACAAAAGAATAAAATAAGCAAAACAACTCATATGAAAATATGAAGATGTCTTTCCAACGGACCTACCTAGTAGCAAGCCTCTTGATCAAAATACCCCCTTTCAAATAAAACTATTGTCTGGAATAAAACCAACCAATTGACAAATTTATTGCCTAGCATTAAATGAACTTGAAGAACTATGGAAGATATTAGACAAATTCGTAGAGAAGGGCCTTATTTAAAAAAGCACATTACTATAGAGAGCACGTGTATTCTTTGCTTATAAGAAGGATTGTGGACTTTGACTTTGCATCAACTATTGAGGCCTTAATAAGCAAACTGTTAAGAATGCATATCCACTTCCATGCATGGATGACCTTTTTGATCAATTTTAAGATGTGACTATTTTTAGTAAATTAGATCTTCAAAGTAGCTATTAACAGATAACTATTATAAGAGAAGATATAAAAAAGATGATATTTTATATGTGCTATGGACATTTTGAATGGCTTATTTTACCTTTTGGCCTCACCAATGCTTCAGCTTCTTTCATGGATTATATGAATAGATTATTTGAAGATCTTTTGGAATAGTATGTAATTGTCTTCATTGATGATATCCTCATATATAGTAAAATCTATGAAGAGTATAAGTAACACCTATGAGAAGTATTGCATTGGCTATAAGATAGTCACTTCTATTGCAAGTAATCAAAATGTGAACTTTGGAAGTCGGAAGTTACATTTTTGAGGCATGTGGTGTCCTCCGAAGGTATGCACATGGAACAAGATAAGATAAAAGCAGTGGAAGATTGGCCAAACTCCAAGATGCTTCTGAAGTGTATTCATTTTTAGGCCTTGCTAGATATTGTCACTATTTTGTTTGACAATTTGTATACATTATTGCCTCATTGATAAATCTATTGGAAAAGGATGTCCCATTTGAATAGAAATTGGAGCAACAAAGTGCCTTTGATAAGTTGAAGCATGCACTCATTACTACTTGAATATTGCAAGTGTATGATTTCAACCTTCTTTGTATACTTAATATTGATGCTTTCAACTTTTCGATTAGAGTGGTCTTTCAATAAGTCTTTAGTAGGGACCTTTAATTTATGGCGTATAAATCATGTAAGCTTAGAAGGACAAAGCACAATTAGTCTACACATCATCAAGAGCAATTAGCAATTATATGTGCTATGAAGGTATTTTGAGACTATTTGTTGGAGAAGCCAGTTGTTGTTTGGATTAACCATTGATTCTTACTACATAATTTGCATCTAGAAAATATAAAATCATGACATTATCATTGAGAAAAACAATTGCAGCTTTTTGATATCTAGCTTAAATACAAGCAAAGGCAACAACATATTGTGCCAAACAACTTATTACAAAGACCAAACTTGAAGGTCAAATTGGGAGATAAGGCAAAAATTGATACCATTAGTAGTGTCATTTCAAACCTAACCAAAGAGGTAGAATGGAAGGAAGCTACGCATTAGGATATTTATTTTAAGATGGTTAGGAATCGGGTGAAAGTGGGCAATATATAGTATTAAAATTATAGTCTTAATGATAGCTTGCTTTATTTCAAGAAGCGGATTTATATACTTGAAAATGCTATACTCCAAATATGCATACTTCAAGAGGGACGTGACATCCTAATATCTAGATATCTACGGCAAAAAAAGATTCTAAAACGGATCTCAAGGACATGGTTTTGGGTAGGTTTGGATCGTGATGTTCGAGCTTTTGTACACTCTTACGAGTCATGTCAATGTACTAAAATATGCAACCTAGTATCTCCTAGACTATTGTAGCCAATTCCACTACCTATCGCATGTTGGCAACAAGTGACTATGGATCTTATTATGTGTTTATCACAGATGCCTCATCATCATATTGTGACTACTGTCTGTGTGGACTGACTCTCAAAACAACTTCACTTGGCCACAATGTGCTTGAATATTGATACCCCAACGCTTGCACAAATCATCTTTGATAATGTCTTTTGTTACAATAGATTACCTCATGTTATCATTTTAGATTGAAATTCATGCTTTGCGAGGAGTTTTTGGCAAGCCTTGTTCAATCTATTAAGCACTTAACTTACCATGTTTAAAGCCTTCTATTCCAAAACACATGAACAAATCAAACCTTAGAAGATATGTTGCGAGCATTTGTGGTAGTTCATCATAATGATTGGGATGAATATTTGATGTCTTTGGAGTTTGCTTATAATGATAGTATTTAAGCAAGTACTGGTCATTCACCATTTTCCTTAATATCAATCAGCATTTGATTATACCAACAACTCTCCATCGTCTAATCGACACCAATGATCTGACAATGGAGGAGTTTATACAATGGCTTACAACAGCCTTATAAGAGGCACGGCACCGCTTCTTTACAATACAAAATTGACCGAAGCAGTATGCAGATAGCCATCGGCAACACAAGACCTTCCGGAAGGGTGATCAAGTATTACTCTCCAATGCCAACTTACCACTTGCTACATCAATCCAAATCCATAAATTGACACCTTGGTGGCTTAGACCTTTCTGCATTTTGCAGTGATTTTTGATGTTGCATATCGCCTTGAGCTTCCCTCACATATTTGGATCCATTCAATCTTCCATGTTTTCCAACTGAAGGAATTTCATACTGAGCCAAAGTGCTTTTTGAATCGACACCAACCACCACTACTAATTGTAGTTGATGACCAACAAGAATATGAAGTGGATAGCATTTTGGAGCATCGCTACTTTTGTGATAAGGTTTTATGTTGCTGTGGATTAGAAGGATCTTAGACTCTTAAGATAGACTAATCATGTTTGAATTGTAATATCAAATATAGTATCAAATTAATAAAGAAACCATTTGGAAAAATATTAAAATTCAATTAAAAACTAATAACTAAGAAAATTTTAAAATAATACAAATTGTAATTAAATCTTTAAAATATAAAACTTTAGCTATTGCTAGTGAAACATCAATCTTTCCATTAAGCATCTAATAAAACATAGTTGCATCACTTAACTTTTTTGTTTCTAAAGCTTATTAATATAAGTGATTATTTTAATAGATTTGATTACTTCACATAAAAAACAACTCATAAAAGTTCTAACTTATTAACAGTTCCAACATATATGTATGTATGTGTACGTATATATATATATATATATATATATATTCAAATTTTCAAAAATTTATGGATGACTTGTGAGAATTTGTCGATAGTAGTATAAAGAGTGATGGAAATGCTTATTCAAGATTTTATCTAGGATTTGAAGAGTTAAGTATTATGAAGATTTCTATACATGGATCTATATAATAGAATAGTCCTAAGAAGAAATGGGTACCCAGATTAGCTGTACATGAACAAGTCAATACAATTTTAATTGAATTCACTGAAAGTAGACTGGGTACAACCACATACAAACGACTACCTTCAATTGTGATATGCTACAAGCATCACCAGCATGAGAAAGAAACAATGAAAGGAAGTTTAATGTCAACTAGAATTTGGCCCAAAACAAACAAGAAAAATTGATAATTTCAGATATGCGCAGCCAAAAGGAATTAATATTACTCTGAGCCGCATTAGTGGATTCTATGTAAAGACATGTCACTGCCGTGCTCAATGAATGTGCTAAAGTGTAAATATCAACGACTGTCGAGAATCACTTCAAAACAATCTGCAATTAGCTGGGCAACAGTGATTCAGGGACAGTCGGCAACTTTTTTGTGACAACCCCTGAAATTGAGGTTGTGCACCTCATGAGGGCTACAGTTCTATAATGTTACAGTTTTGTGTTGTGAAGAACTAAACATCAACCCTCAGTTGTTCATCTATGGCGGTAAAATGCTGGAAAAATTCCCTGAAATGTCGAAAGGTTGTTTCGATGTCATCGGTACTGCACATTTCTCGCACGCTGCACACACAGATTGCACGTCGAATCAGCTAGGGAAAACTTTTTGCAGTTCCCAACTAGATTAAGTATATATATATATATATATATATATATATATATTGCGAAGTAGATTAACAAGGAGTCATTTGGCACCTACTATCAATCGAGAGTCGAATAGTTTTGCACTGATGTGACCCAGACGAGGATTTCTGCAGACTCAAGTTCAACCATGACAGGTCCGCTGAAAGGTTTAAGAAATAACCTGACATTTGTCTCTTTCGTTTAGTTGTGTGATTGCATGAATAATTGAATAGACCCAAAATTGTAGCAAAGCCATCTAATGGAGTTACCTGTGCATGGAAAGCAGGGGCACCCCACAGTCGATCAATCGGAGTCCATACCCTGCCGCTAATATTGAACTAACTGTTGAACAACAGCCCGTCTCCCGTGACACAGGAAAATTCTGCAGCAAATTAAAACATGAGTTTAAAAGACAAAATCCTAACATAATATTCAGCATCACTGACCATTGAAAAGAAAAGAAAATATAAAATGGTTCTTTCATCTTCAAAAGTACGTAAGATGGATTATATTCATGAACGCAGACCAATCCACTACAACAAAACCAGAGCTCCTGCAGAGAAGAGCAACAAACCTGAACCGGAATACTACTTCGTTTAGCTACTTCTCGAAATAAAAACGATGTTACAATGTCATTGGCATTGCTAGCATCCTGCCTGAGAACTAGGCCATCACGAAGCTTGGGATGATGAAATGACTCTTCTTGGCCTGGTGACGACACTTGTATAGGGTACATGCCCTCTACCATGTCAGCTGACACTGCAAAAAACCCACCTGAATGGTCTAAGGTGCAAATGTAGAAGGTTTCGAGAAGGAATAATTACACCACTTAAATACTACTGTACCTAACGTGTAATAGCCAGGGAATCCGAATAATAAAAGCCAAAGCCAACAGCACAAATTAAGTATGTACAGTTCACTTACCAATCAAAGATCTTCGCATGGCTCGCTCAACGACTCCTTCACTATCTGAACCCCGAGCAAGCCACCTAGCAATGCGTGTCATAGCCTGCAACATTATCTGTGGCCCCGCTGCTTGTGCTGAATCAGGTCCTCCCACCTGCATCCGTAAACAGGGAGTAAGCAATAAGGCATTTACACACTTGAAGAAAAGATACGCAGAATTTCTGAGAGTTCTGCATAGACTTGGTAAACACAAGTCCAAAGCATAACTGAAACACGTAAAAAAAGAAATGAGAGACACCAGTACCTCCCCACTGTCAAATAGAGCAATCATGCGAACACAGCTTTCATCCACAAGAGAAGAAGGGTCTGCGCATGTATGTAAAAGTGCCCACAGTGCACAGAACGTTGAGGTTAAGTTGTCCAACCGTCCAGCAAAAACAAAATCATCACGAGCACCCCCAACACAAGCAGGCTGTGTATCATATACACTAAGATCGAAATCTGCAACCTCGCTTACATCGCACTTGAGCGCATCTGCTAACACCTGCACTACCCATCCACCCCTCTCATGCCATAAGATAAACCGACCACTCGTCCAGCCTTTCACAAGTCTCCCTTTTCCAGTAAGATTGGACCTGATGGGATACATAAAAATACATGCCATCGAGGAGTGATAAAGCATACTAAGACCAAACAGAAATTTGGTCTTCCTTATAGCAAAGAATAAGTTAAGGACGAAGTAGGTTGAAGTGCATGCCATGAATGTCCACACCTGAATCAAAAGTGGGTGGTGAGCGGTAGCAGGTTGAGGATAAATATGGGACCCATGATCATTGTGTTCCACAGGCATTGACGACTCAGAATCGCAAGACATTGCAAGTTCTGACTCTATCTGCATGGCCAGAACAGGTGCAAGGTTTACCTCCGCGTCAACCTTGCTACCATCCGCCGCTAGCCCCCTGTACCAAAATTGTAATCACACATATGCAGAGATTAAATACCTACACGTAAAAATCAAATAAAATAAAAACTGGCCAACTAAATAAACAATGTAAACAACATAGCTGCGAATCAATTTTTTTGACTACCAACAGCAAATTAAATTATACTAGCAATAAAAGAATTTAAAAAGAATCATTCGTTCGAAGTCACTGATGAAATTAAAATCAATGAAAGATTGAGTAGACGTGATATACTAAATTGAAGAAATGACAGCAACAGATTGAGCACGTAAGAATATTAGGTGAATATGTGCAGGCAAACCTGTCAACAGGATTAGCCACTGTTGGGATTCGAAGAATGGGGCGCCCAACCCGCACAAGCTCATTAACAAGATCACCATCTTTTCTTCGAAGCAGGACGCGACCAGCTACACTTAGATCTCGATCAAACCAGGTCTGCCAAACCCCAGCTCCATATGGCTGTACACGTACATGCACAAAACCTCCTTTCGCTGAATATGAAACTGGTTTTAACTTGGGACATGGACTGTCTGTATGAGCCGCAATCACATGGAAACCACTCCCAGGCTTGTATCTGCACAGAGAAACCATGAAGTTGAAATATACCATGATACCAAACGCGAATACACTTCTTGGCCCTATTTTCTTGTAATAAGAAGGGATGCACTAACAACTGAGCTGTATTTTCAAGCAAACCTCAGCTTCAGCTTTTCAGCTGATGCAAGAATCGTTAAAACCATGCAAACTAAACAAGAATATACAAACAATATTAGAATAAAAACACAGATATGTGAAGGGCTTAAAACGCATTCTTACTTGTGACCAATAGCAAAAGCATATATGGAGCACATATTGCGAGTGAAGAAATAGCGTCCCCCTGGCTGCAATGCCCATTCTTCACATTCACTTATTTCCTGAAATCCTGCAGTTAATAAAAACTTCCTTGCCTCCGCTGTTGAACATAAACACAACTATTTCAGCTGCTAATCCATGCTAAACAAGCAACTCATAAAAGGTGTATCTCACAGAAGCAAGCATCCCAGGGCAGGTGACATAACTAGATAAAAGTGAAAGTGTAATCTCGCCGCCTTTCCGTTAACATGAAGTTTTAACGCAAACACGCAGCAAAATGAGAGCAGATGAAAAGCAGAAATACTTGAAGGTTGTAAGAGAAATAAATCAAACCTCTCATCATATAATTGGACAACACTTCCACACCTTAGAATTCACTCTCAAGTATGCAACTGTCCTTGACCACATTATGATTTCGAAGATTCTCTGCTTACCCGTGGCATGAAATGGTGTGCATGAGTTGTCCACATATTCAAGTAAATGAGGTATAATATTTGACTGAGCCTCCCTGCACATAAGGCCCTGTACAACAAGACACCCAACGATCTTACAGAATCAATAACCATGATATACACATATTGGCAAATTAAAAAGCCAATATAATTCTAATGCTTAAACCCTTGTCCAAAGTCAATGATTTATTAGAGTTGCTACGTTTTCTTCGCATCGCAGTGGATACCATCTGAGAGTGAAAAGCAACTGAAGGTATACGAAACAGACACAGCCGTCTACGCCACTGCAAGAGATGAAATAGTTCCTCGGAGTATGCCTAACTGGCAAATTCAAAACCCTAACCCTTGCCTCTCTAACAGAAGTATCCCCTCCTCATGATATCCTTATCATTGAAATGACCAGGCCTGTGAAACATAATTAAGCTGCTGATTTCAACCCGTTCCCAAGATGTAGAAATCGACCCTCACAGACATAAGACGCCAATACTCTCAACATGATTAATACCCTGCCTCTCAATAATGGTCAAGCCAGCAAGTTTGCAGTTTACACAAGGCTCTTTCTGCACCAATTTCAAGGGCGACCCTACATTAGGTACTCATTACACACTAGAAACAGTCCGTAAAAGAAAGTTAATCTATTTCAATGAACTAACTTATTTTCAGACTAAAAATCAAAATAAAAAAACAAAAACAAAACCTACAATGAGATTCATGAAAGATGAAATAAAATTTTAAAAGCATGTATTAAAGTTGTCAAGGTTCTTATTGACAAATTAGATCGTACACTGGACGTGTAACGAGCATGAGTTAAACTATCGCTGTAAAACACCTAGTATTCACTAATTCATCACCTGTGAGCGAATCCCGGGAAATTTGTCTACAATTCAACATTCAATTCAAAGGATTTTCGAGGTAGTCTGCACAACCATTCACTGAACTACCACAACATCGAGAATGGCTCAAAAGCATTTGACCAGAAAATACTCAGCCTATAACTAGCGGCTGTCACCAGTACCCAGTTGCTAGTAAAGGAAGTCAATGTTCCTAAGGAGGGATGAATATGAGAAACCTGCCTTCTCAGAAAAAAAACCCCTTGGAGGTGGTGGTTGTTGTTGATGCTGTTGGTGCTGCTGGTGCAAGGGAGGCGGAGCATATCGAAAATCTGAAACCGGAGAAGCATGCATAGGAAGTCCCAATCGCACATGCGTCTCGCCGACCCCAAAATTACTCTCATCCATGCTGTGAGCTTCATTGGCTGGTCCTCCCCTCCCCTCACTCGACACCCCATCATAATCACCATCCCCTGCCGCTGCAAGGAGGACCGATACAACCCCTGCGACATTCGTGTGACCTGGTGTGCCAAGTAGCGATCTTGTTGGCGGCAGGGGATTCTCCTTCGCCCTCTTAGCCCGTTTCGTGTGCTTCTGGGGGCAATTTATGCACTCCGCATCTCCCAACTTGGCTTGGCAATGCCAGCAGGAGAGACCAGGAATCTGCAATGATCACTGATATAAAATAAGCTGTTTCAATAAATAAAATAGAAAATAAAATGAAGCACTTACTCAGATAAAAGGCCTGACGATAATTTTCACTCCATCGTCCAGGTTTGAACAAGATAATCGATCCCTCAACTCCAGACTGAGAGGTATTGTTACTGCCGTAATTGCGTGGTTTATCCTGGACGAGTTAGACAAATGAGTCTACATTACAGCAAACAGACCCAATCGCCATGATGACGACGCAGCAAAGACACACCTGTATCCACTTGCATTGCACTTCATCGAATTGGAAAAAACTCTTGAGGTCAACGCTCAAATGCCTGTTGATACAGAACCGGCAAAACCAACGCCGCCGGCGTTCGCCTTTGGCATTCGAGTGTCCGGCGCAATCCTGTGCAGGGCATATAAACAATCCACCGAACTGGCGCGTCGAATTTTTCACCTTTCGGGATATCCAGTCACGAGGCCATCCCTCCCCTCGTTCCAGCTGCTTGGCTGCTTCTGCCGGCGTCGTGGTGTGATGATGGGTGCACCAATGACATGCAGCCCTCAGCTCCAGATTGAATTTCTGCCATAACTCAATGTCTATCAAGAACGAGGGGTTCCGGGAGGCCTCATCCATAATGTGGTATCTTTTTATGGAATCCCAGCTCTCATCAGTCGAAATGATTCAAGGACTTTGTTCTTCTTGCAACCTGCAGGTTATCTTTCCACGCCTGCTCTCTGAAACCCATACTCCACAAGAACTCCATCTACCTCGACACGGTTAGACCTCCAGGTTACACTCAAGCAAATTCGCTCACATACTGAGAGGTATGGTTTTTCCACCACATTTTTTTTCCTTTTTTATCTTTTTATTTAGTTTTTTTGTTTTCCCAAAACAGGGCTAACCAGGCACATCAACTGCACCCCCATTGAAATCAAGACACAGCAATCAGCTTTTCCAAATTTCACCCTCCATTCAACCCCGCCTCCCTGCATGATCCTGACGTTCACAACTCCCGCTCCACGTCTAGAACCGACATCCTCCTCTTCCTCTTCCTCTTCCTCCCCCTTTTCCTCAAAAAACATCCAACACACCATACCCAACCCCACCGCACCCCACTCCACCCCCCGATCGTCCACACCTACTGTTCACTGGCACCGATCAGACTCAAACCCTACAAAACCACGGCCAAGTCCACCAAACCCAACCCCACAAAAAATTTCCATTACCTCGCACCGCAACCAATCCCACTCTCCCTCCAAACCTACAACCCTGCCAAACCAACCCCCTCCCCCGCGATTCAAGCTTATGCCCAATGCTCCCACGACACCCACCCTAAGCTTCCCCAGATCTGACTTTTCAAAGACCCGCGATCAGTCCACTTCCGATTCTGAGCGGTACCCAATGCATGAATCGAGGACCTCAACGCAGACAAGCCAAAAAGTCCAGGGCTTGGAGGGGAATCTGCATTCGGCAGAGGCAACGGGGAAGAACACATCACAACGCGACAATGTAACACGAAGCGAGGTGGCCGTCCATCGGGGCAGGACCCCCTCCCAGCCCCCCACCCGTGGCCCACGCGGGTGCGCGAGCCACCCGGCACTCCCACACCCGCTCCGCCCAGCGGTGCCGTGCTCGGGCCCGTGGAGGGTCGAAATGGATGGACTGGCCGATATATTACAGGATGAATGTAGCAGGAGATAAAACGAACGAATTTAATCATTCATCCGTGCGCTTGTTATCGACAGATTTAGGTTATGGTATCCTTGGATGAAAACATTGGGTGAGGAACCGACGACCGTTGGAAGTTTTGTGATTAGCGCTTTTTTGTGATTAGCGGTTATGTGGTCATGTGTCACATTTTAATTATCTTGAGAGTGTGTTTTTTTCCATGTAATGATCTTAAAATGGTGCTCATGGACCCAGGTGCCCTTTGATTATTTATGTATATATAATATGTAAATAAAATACAACCACTCTAAATCTACTATTTCGAATATTTAATAATTTAATCATTATTATTAATTTTTTAGGAGGTAAGTTAATTCAGGTAGTTTGTAGATAACACTATATTTTAAAATTAAAAAATCAAGTTAATTTAAAATTTTATTTATTTTATTATTTTTATAATATCGTAGATAAGATATGAATATAAAATCTGATAAATGCACACATAATAAAGACATATAAATGAAAATTTGTAAAATAAATGAAATCAACTACTACTGTGGCAAACAATAGGTTATTGCATGTGAACAAAGTTTTTAGCAAGTTCTAGTTTGAATGACACATTATAAAAAGTATAAAGAGAAAACAAAGCTTAAATATATGCACAAGATAATATTTATAAAATTAATCTAACATAAAATTATCTTAGACTGGTCTCTACTTTTCTATGTATTGAGATACTTAAATAATGCAAGAATTTGCTGAAAATTATGGTGAAAGTCATGAATGAATTTGTAATAGATGGAGACAAAAAGTTTTAAATGACACATTGAATGAATGTTCATAAAAAAATAAACACCATTTTCTTTAATATATAAGAGTTAATACATATGAATTCAATCTTGTACCTTAGAATACAAGAGAATGTTTAGCACATAATCTAAAAATGTTTATAATCATAATAATAACAAAGATGATTAATATATTTTTTAAATAAGAATTAAAATATTATTATTCATGACAATAAAAAAAACCAAAGCAACAAACTACGTGGATTTGAATTTGACTTGAATCATATGAAGAATATATTATCAGAAAAATTAATAAAATTCAAAGTACTAATTACATTCATTAGTGAGTCTATATATATATATATATATATATCTATTTTAAAAGAGAATAAAAGTAAGACAAAAGACGAACAACACATTCAAGAACTCAAAACGTTGTTTTCTGTTTTGTTTTTTTTTTTTTGTTTTTTATAAAAATAAAATAAAATAAAAAACATCTACAATGTTTTTGACAACTTCAAAAGAATGAATTTGAATTACAAAAATTTGTCACTTTTCATGGTTTCTCATGTTCAAAGTTACAACAAATTGAGGATATTTATTATATTCACCTAGTACGGATTTTGAAATGTTACTGACATGTAGTTTTCCGCGTTTGTTTGTTTATTATTTATTTTTAATTTTTTTTGTCAAAGAATAATATCTTCAAAATTAGATGGCGAATGACTGTAGTGCTTTGTTCCCACTATCTATTTAAATGATATGGGTCGGAAAGATTGAATGAATGAGGAACTTGGAAGGGCATCAAGGCTGGCGTGGATGGGTGGGTAAGTAGGTAGGCAGGTCGTTAGGTGGGTAGGTAAGTAGGGCAGTAGGTGTGGCCTGGCCCCCTTCAACCTGCCTCAACCTCCTACCACCTTCGTGTCGTACGTGGTAGGTGCCCACCTTGATGCCACCGTGGCAGCCATATCATCACATTGTGTGTGGTTCGTTAATACACGTGGACAAGACAGACCTGCTATGCTGGCAATCCGCGGTGGAAGTCAGCAAAAGAGGGCGTAGATGTGGGTCCTGTCATTATTTCTCATTTTAAATTACTATTTATTGTTGGTATTTAATGTATATAATAAAAATGATAAGATTAGCAATTTAATAGAAATAATTGTAGTCGATTGCATGAAAAATCTAAAGAGTTTGTTTGTATTTTTTTTTTTTTTTTTTTTTTTTTTGTTCTGTTGAGGTTTTAGATAATTTTAAATATTTAAGATATACAAAGGTATATAAAATTAAAACATTCTTTTCTAATGATTTTAGTTCCTCCAATATTTAAATGGGATTATTCTTTATATATTCATCTATGTTTTGACCCAAAATATTATTTTTACGTGCAAGTTTTTATATATAATTTTATATTATTACTATTTTTTTAAAAAAATATTGGAAAATATTACATTGTGTTTTATTGTGATATCTATAAAGATGATCATACTTTTGGAAATCTAAAAATTAAAGCTTTGTTAAAATTCAGCTTTCAAAGGTAGAATAGAAGATGACAGCAAAGTCTATAATACTTCATTCTTCTTTAATATAGATAAAATTTGATCATGTAATTAATATTGAATTATAGAATAATCTAAATAAGATATATTAATTACATGATCAAAGATGTATATATGTAATGATGTATATATGTAATGATAATAACAACTTAAATTATTTCTCCTAAGCTATTTTTCTTAATTATTTAAATATATATATATATATATATATATATATATATATAAGCTGTCATTTTATTTCTTTATCAATAAGAATTAAGACAGGAATTTTTGTTTAGCCAGTTAATATACACAAGAAAAAAAATAAATCATTATAGAATAAATTAATTTTTTTATTTAATTTTATTTGATGTTTTAAAAAAAAATTGTATTATTAATCTAAAGATATTATTGTAGACACATGATAAAATGTGGCTTTAAAAGCCTTCTAAAACTTTTTAGACATTTGTACCACTTTTGGTAAATATTTAGAATCCTCTAAATCTTTCTACAACCTCCCTACAAATTTTGAATTATGTCACAAGAATCATAATCCTCTTATGGAGTTTTTAGAAGTTTCTACAAATATATAAGAGTCTTCAGATCCTTTCATAGCCTTGAATTTAGAAGGTCTTCAATGGCTCACCGACAACTTATATGTAATGATAAAAGAATAATAAAATGAATAATTCAATACTAATTTAATTTAAAATCATAAATAATATATATATATATATATATATATATATATGATTTTTTATTTTAGTATATTGTGATTTTAGTACATATGAATACACACACACATATATATATATATATATATATATATATTTTAATACTTATATGCTGGATAAGTTTGTTGTAATAAAATCAGGAGTTTAAAATTATTTTAACAAGTATAATTATTCCTATTCTTATTTCTTTTAAGCTATTTTGATGAATTTAACAAAGTCAGATTTTTAGACACCTTTCAGCTAAAAGTATACTGGCTTTATTTGCACCATTTTTGAAAAGAATATATGAAATTCTTGGCTAATTTAAAGTGTTTATCATAAGATTTTAATTCTTTATATTTTATATGTAATAAAAGAGTTGTAAAAAAATATCTAAAATATTTATTATCTAGATTATACATTTTTTTAATATATTTTTACTTCATTTTACCAATTTTATTGGAATAATTTAAAAAATAAGATAAAAAATATTAGGCATATATTAAGCACAGTAAAGAATATGTTTTTCTTATTTTTTTTAATTATTAATATTTAAAATCAATTGATAATACAATCAATCTTTTAGAAGATTATAATAATAAAAAAATAGATGTAATTGTACAAATCAAATTTACACATCAATTGTTTTTAGGAGAACATTAAATCTATCAACTTCATATTTAAAATGACCCAACCATCTCCACTTTGATCCTCCTACATTGCAAAGGGCTTAGCACTCTCTAAATTTTGTACTTGGTGACGTTTTGATTGTGCAAGGACGTGAAAAGGGTAGAAAATAAAATTCATGGAAGCTTAAAGAAAAATTTAGCATGATTGGTGATTTTAGAAGTGATTTCCAAGAGAAGTTTAGGGTTTAATGATGAATGATTACTATTAGAGGTATAGCAAGAAAAGTTTCTAAAGATGTCTAATGATGAAAATGATTAACAAATATTTTGTCAAAGACAATAATTGTATTTTATTGAAAGTAGGTTGATTTTAAATTTAGGTGATTTGATTTAAGACCCTCATCACTATTTATATATATATATATATATATATATATATTAAAGCATTCCATAAAAATTTATAAAAATTTGGTAAATCTAAATTAAATTGAAATTTATGGATACAAGTGGATATAATTTGAATTAAATTCCCAATGCAAGAATTAAAGCACAAAAAAAAACTAAAACCAGTAGATTTATGTTACAGTTTTAGTAAGGAAATATTGAATCTAATAAAACATTATTTGGCAAAAACATCCTATAAACAATGATAGCAGCTAATTACAAAATGATCCATGCAATTAGAGAGTACTCACTTGTTACCAAATATGTGTATTTCTATTTTGTGCTTTAGCATCTTCTTATTTATTTATTTATAATACCTGTGTTATTAAAACAAAAAACAAAGATATTTTAAAAACTGTCAAATATACTAAAGTATCAATATATCTTATACATGAAGAACTTATGAAATAAAAAATTATGTGTTTAATTTTTTAAAAGTTAACTCTCAATATAAGTTTAAGTCATAAGTATAGAACTTCTAAAATATCAAATTTTTATTAAGAAAATAAACTTTGCAAGTTATTCAAATATATTGAAGATTTTGTATTGTCTTAAATATCATTTAAAATAATTGACATCTTCAAAGTATTTTGTATATATATATTTTTATAATTTAAGCTACAAATTTAATAATTTTTTAATCTAGTAAAATCAAAGAAAGAAAATATCAATTGTAAATTAAAGAATAAATAGAATAATTTTAGATTCTTAGAAGCTAA